CATGTATACCATAGGCATAATTTACATTTAAGCACATGTTTGTGTTTACCTGCATGTATACCCTAGGCATAGTGTACATTTCAGCACATTGTTGTATATACCTGCATGTACACCCTCGGCATAGTGTATATTTCAGCACAAGATTTTGTTTACCTGCATGTACACCCTAGGCATAGTGTACATTTCAGTACATGGTTGTGTTTACCTCCATGTATACCCTAGGCATAGTGTACAGTTCAACACATGGTTGTGTTTAGCTGCATGTATACCCTAGGCATAGTGTACATTTCAGCACAAGATTGTGTTTACCTGCATGCATACCCTGGGCATAGTGTACATTACAGCACATGGTTGTGTTTACCTGCATGTATTCCCTAGGCATAGTTTACATTTCAGCACATAGTTGTGTTTACCTGCATGTATACCCTAGGCATAGTGTACATTTCAGCACATGGTTGTGTTTACCTGCATGTATACCATAGGCATAGTTTACATTTCAGCACATGTTTGTGTTTACCTGCATGTATACCCTAGACATAGTGTACATTTCAGCACATTGTTTTGTATACCTGCATGTACACCCTCGGCATAGTGTATATTTCAGCACAAGATTTTGTTTACCTGCATGTACACCCTAGGCATAGTGTACATTTCAGTACATCGTTGTGTTTACCTGCATGTATAACCTAGCTATAGTGTACATTTCAGCACGTGGTTGTGTTTACCTCCATGTATACTTTAGGCATAGTGTTCATTTCAGCACATGGTTGTGTTTACCTCCATGCATACCCTAGGCACAGTGTACATTTCAGCACATGGTTGTGTTTACCTGCATGTGTACGCGTAGTTTCTTGCCACTACAAATTTAGAGTTGATATTTATAATGCAATTAGACTAGAAATGACTGTTGGTCAAATATACAAGGAAATTCATACGTTAATCTATTTATATACATAGCCAGGAGATACATTGAAAGAATTTTGAATACCACGAAGCACTAGCATATTCATCCCATTTTTTGCGAGTAATCTGTATAATTTTTCACAACAAAGATATAAGTGTAGTTATACATCATATCGACCGGTTGACTATGTTTGAATGTAGTTCATACATTCATAAATTGACGAATATGTCTTCCAGTGGCCGCGTTTTGAGACATACTATAAACTATAGGGGTTAATATTGTATCAAAATATGTCTTACATGATGTATTCTTAATGATTTGCGGGTGTTTTGTAGAGGTTGCCAATCTTCATGTAATGAATATCCAAAATACGCAATACGCATAATAACATTTTAAACAAAAATATAAAAGTTTGTTCTATGCATAATATTAGGCCTAAAGTCTGTACTGACCTGACATTATAATAACGCCAGTGAGGTAATTACAAGTCTACAGTTCGGGTATTTATTTTTTGCCAGGTATATATTTAGGGGGTTTATAATCCAAAAATACCACTGCTACGAAAACATAATCATGAATATAAATTGAATATAATGTATCACTTTACCCAAGAATGTATAAATATAAGTTTCGATATATACTGTATATAAATACGTTTAAGCACTTTAAAATGAACGCATTTTGATACGGTTAAGAGAACGAACTTATATACGTTTTAGCACGCGCGCAGTGACTCTTTGGCACAAACAACATTCGCTTTCGAAGGTAAAATAATGATGTTATTCGCTGTTTCTGTTACTATAAATAGGTACAATGGCAAATATAGCAGTGTGAAATTACACTTTAATTTTAATTAAATTAAAAGAGTGGGATGTCTAGTTTTACAAATTAAATAGTAAACAGTATTATTTTTAATTTCATTATTATTATTATTATTATTATTATTATTATTATTATTATTATTATTATTATTATTATTATGAAAGTCCCTGAAATGAGAAAGTTGAGTATGCCTGAATATGTTACTCAATCATTCGAAACTAAGGCTTGATTAAATTTGCTACTACAATCGATATATCAGTTTGAAATACAAGCATGTCGTTACTGGCTAGCGTTCAGTTTCACTTTCGAAACATATTCCTTTGTGACCTCACAAATTGATACATACTCGAATTGCAGTATGAAACCTTCAACATTTCTATCGCTACATACTTGTATATTTGAACAAATTAAATTACCGTAAAATGACAGAACATGAAAGGTAAAAGGAACTGTAGACTGTCGTGCTATTGTTGTCGTGTTTTATTAACAGACATAAGGGTTGTTCGTATCATTGGACGATGCTATTGTCATGATGTTTATATAATAGGAATTAATGCCCTATAACAAGTATGTAAATCACGTTTACGAATGAATTTGTATTTTACACACACACACACCTCTAAAATATTGCAGTCATATGATATAGGCACAATAATTAATAGAATTTCAGTTTAATCATTATCGCCAGACAATCGTGTTAGTAAAACACACGCGTTTTGTGGGACGTGACAGCTGATTGATGAGTGTGTGTTTTATGTTATGCAGATCAAACATTAAACACCCGATGTTTCGCAAATACATACTGCCAGACAGTGACGACATATAATGAATTCGTGTTTGACATACAAAGTGTTTATTTGTTGTAATGAATGGTGCCTCATGAATAGTATGAGGTATTTACACGCACCAAGGGTGATTTATAAAATGGAAGATTCTTACATAAAATAGAAAGGAATTTTCAATTTGCATTGTATATACATAATAATAACGTAATAAAAATTGTAGAAGAAGTGTTTTAATTGCAATAATTACCAATAGTTTTGTAATTATATGAAATATAAATGTATATGTTTATAGCTTTAAGGACGTTGGTCGTCGGGCTATACGCTTTACAATTACAATATATTGGCCAGGCATGCTCACCTCAGTGTAGAAAGTTACCTATGATCGTGAACTATTAATTATTATTCAGTAATTTGTTCGTTACGAGATATTAAATATGTTTTACTTATCACTATGAATCATGTGCATATTTATATAATACACTAGAGTGTTCAAGTATACATGACTTAAATAAACATTGTTAGACAAGACTAACAAGACTTTACAGGTGTGATAGTGTTGATTATTTTGACATAACCTAGACAATATCTATGTTAACAAGAGTTGGCGGCAATGGTTGACATACTAGTATATGCCACAAGCAAATGTTGGTTTAAAGCAAGAATGACTATTTGTGCAACTGTCCGCAATTAATAACAGTAGTCTCGGCATATATATTTCAGAAATGTGACCTCCCGAGGTCGCCGTTTTAAGATATAAAACAACCACAGAGGTAGCATCTACTAATAATAATAATCTTAACAGATGTGTATATGATTGGTTTATTGTTCAAATTTGATAAGTTGTCACCGTGTGATTGGCTAGTGCAATTGATTGGAGGGCGAGGTTTATGTCAAAACCTTCTAGAATGTAAAACATTATATGCTGTGAAATAATGAGAAAGTTGGCAATGGGCGTTACTGGAAGCTTTGGCTCTTAGCTCCGTTTAGAGCAAGCATGTAATCGAACCTATTAAGTTGTGTAGAGATATTGGGATGAACGAGATTTATTTCCGACAAAAATATTCCAAGAATGGACAGATGGAGAACCAACACAATCCTAATCAACAGTCAGTCTCATTTATATTAATGATATTATGTTGTTATGGTTTTATGAAGAACTGATGTAACCAAAAACAACTCCCAATATATCACGGTGCAACTTATCCACTCGTGGCTTACTAACAACGGTCTATATACTCTCTCCATCAACATATCATTCTAGAATTGCTAAGCCATGGCCACACCTGTTTTACAACCACACTATTTAGTTTGCGATGGATAGTCATTAACGAAAGAAAACACCAGCTTCAACTCAAGGGGTTTCCAAGTTTGTTCCCAAAGCAATGGGTGCCTAATGCAGCGGAATGCACACACTTACTTACACAGTATAACCATTGATATTATTAATACGTTATCATTTCATTGAATGCATTTACTCCAAACATACTGACTAGGTATTCAAAAAGATGTATTATAAGGGGAAAGCAAAGGCCACTTAAGTGAAAAGTCAAATGAGTTATGTGTAAAAATCAATATTTAATCTATTGCACATTTGAACCATAGAACAAAAAAAGAATCATTATTTGCATAGATTTGATATTAGAATATATTAATGGAAGATATCAGTTAACCAGTGTGATATATTGACCATTATATAGGCCTATTGTGCTCACATAATAATCGTATACGGGCAACATGAAAGTGTTGTGACCACAATAATCCACTATAATGACTTGCAGGTTAATACCATATAGGCGAAAACTGAATATAGAACAGGAGGATTTCTCAAATAATTCATAGGACAGGGGGATTCCCCCAAATAATTTTTAGGACAGGGGGATTCCCAAATAATTCACAGGACAGGGGAATTCCCCACATAATTCCAGTAGTAATAACAGATACCTTTCCAAAACGGACATCTGACAATAGCAAACATATCTCCAAAACGGACATCTTTAGTACACACTATTAGATCTGTGTTTGATTAACGTCACTCACTTTCTACGCGAGGATCGATTGTATTATACCAGCAAAAATGTTCAATAGTTCACCTACATTGTTTCCAGTGAACTGTTTTTGAAACAACGGTACGTACTGTCGGATTAACAACAATTCACTGCACATTAGAGTTTTCAGCAACAAACCTTCTTAGTTGTATGACTATCAAAAAAGCACAATTTGCGTCAAACCCATGCTAGATTCACATCATCCTCTGATCGTCTAGTCTCTGATCGTCTGTTTATACTACCCATACATCTTTGTTCATTGAAAACAAACTCGTATGTTTTTCGTAAAGCATCCTGGCCCAGGTTAATACAAGCGGAAGTCAGAATTAGGCCACATATGACAAACATTGCAAGCAAAGCTTGTTGTCTGAATGCATTATCAGTGTCATAGGCTGGTGCTAGATCGCCAAACCCGACTGTGGTGTAAGTGATCGTGCAGAAATAAACTGCGTCAATATACGTCCAATTTTCCTCATGTGAGAATAATATAGCACTCAATAAAATATATATTATGACAATTAGAAGAAGAATTGGTACAGGAATAGTAATTTCTTCACCTCCTGTGTTATCCGTTGTCACATCATCGTCGGTGACCCTTTGAATGGCACATGCTTCGCCATTATGACCATTATGATCAACAGTTCCATAATTAATCATCATTTCGTCAGCTATGCAAGGGTTGCCGTTATCTTTATCTCTCGGTAATTTAGCAGCACTTTCCGCGTCCAAGGATTGTATTTCCAATACATCGTCTTGCTCTGTTTGTTCTGATTCGACTATATCCTGCTTACCAGTTTGTCGCAAGTAAAAACATCTCATACTTTTAAACGAGTTTTTGCTTTTTAACAACTTGCGGTGTAAGTTTCGCAAAGGATTTGCAACAATGTCACCACTTTTTGCCAGGAACACAAGAAATATTGGAATTCCGAAAAGAGCGTAGATGGAACATGCGATTTTTCCAAGTTGAGTAACTGGTACAATATTACCATACCCTGTGATGAAAAAAAAATACATATAATATTTGTGATCAAAATAGAACATCAACAAATCCTAAATATGATAATAACCATACTTTTATAGGAACAATTCTATATCTATATTCCAAAAGATCATACATAAAACAATTGTCAAAATTAACAACCTGTATTGTTATCATCACTAAATGTGCATAACTCCATTTTTTTAAATAATTAGTTAGTCATACAACTAAATTTAATGTGATTATAGAACATCTTTAGATTTCAATGTAGTCCAAACTGTATATTGCAATACACTTACAAGATTTTAAAACATGAGTCAGTATAACCGTGGTCTTTCGGTGTACGTATACATATTAAATAGACACAAATGCCTGAAATCAATTCCTGAAATATTATAATTATTGTGCATCCTGTCAGGCACGACGCGGAACCATTTTGACCATACAACAAAAAACAGACTATTGGATCAAAATACATGTACATACGCCCGATATAATGTGTGTGTGAAGTTTGATATGGCTAGATACGGACAAATATATACGAACGCGCCGTTCTCAATTCATTAGTCCCGAACAGGAAGAAAAAAACTCAATGCAGCATCTCTATTTAAATGTAAGTTGTGTATATTTTTGTACTAGTTCTGACGCCAAAATGACTCATCTGCCTTTTTAGAAATATTAGATGTGGTATATATGAACAAAATCTTGTTAGCAATTGTTGTCATGCCTTCTCTTATGTGTTTTAAATATCTGTATGCAAAAACAAACAAAATATTCTGGGAGAAATGCAAAAATATACATTAATAAAAAAGTTAAGCGTAATCGCTCTGACTATTTTGTTTGTCATGTTTTATTATACATTCTTTTATAAAAATAATAAATGTGGATTGTACTTTCTGAAAACCTCTACGTACACGCACGTCGTAAGGGTACGATTGTATGATGGAGTGTGAATTTCTATTGACAAGTGGAACTCATTTCAAATACGGACTATAGTAAATGAACGCCCGGTTACCATTGTATTGACCAGACACGTGGTTTATCAAAAAATAAAAAAAAATATTTCCGACCAAGAACGTAAAGTACCGACTGAACGTATCGATGTAGTAATTTGGTTAGATAGCTTAGCCTTGTTCGGGTGTTAATGCAGTGATTACAATACTAGTGAGATGTGAGACTATTTCCCCGCTTTACAAATGAGACGAGCTGGTGCATTATCAACTCGCTGTAGTCGTTTGATTACATGTTTAGTACAGTCGAATAATACACTTTACAAATCAATGTTGGTGTTAAATAGTGACAGATAGAACTTATTTGTTTTAGTTGATATTGTAGTTTATCCAGATTTAACCGATAACGTAAAATTGATAACTTAATCGCCAACAAGCATTGATAATGCATTCAATCAATACGACCCAAACGAAGAAGAAGTAGACACTGTAATACCAAATGCTTATTCTAGTCGTTGTAACAGGTTCCCATGATTCAAGTATGAAATGCAGCTGACGCATCAAGTGATTTAGTATGCGTATTTGCTAATTGTTCATAGCGTTTGAAAGGTC